TCTATCCATCCATCCATCCATCCATTCATTTGTGCATTTATCCATCCATCCATTCATTTATCCATCTGCTCATCCATTCATTCATTCATATATCCATCCATTTGTTTATTCATTCATTCATTCTTCATCCATCCACCCATCTGTTCATTTGTTCATTCATCCATCTATTCATTCATTCATTCATTCATTCATCCATCCATCCATCCATCCATGTATCCATTTGTTCATTCCCAGATTCATTCATAAAGTGTTTTGCATGCCCCAGGAATGCAGAATTCTGTCTTTGGCAAGTATGGGTTGATCACTGCTTCATGCATTTATTTATTCAGAGTCTACCATGAACCCACATTAGGCTAGGCAGTGGGGAAAAGCAGAAACCCACATGGCCCCATTTTCATAGAGTTTGCCGGCCAGTGTAGGAGATAGGTAACAACCAAGTCAACACATAAGGAAATTAAAGACACAATCTCCAGGAGTGATTAAATATTGTGAAAACACACCAGAGCAATCAATCAAGAAACAGAGCCATATGGGGAATACTTTAAAGATGGCAGAGGGGGGCACCTGGGTGGCTCAGTCGGTTAAATGTCTGCCTTTGGCTTAGGTCATGATCTCAGGGTCCTGGTATTGAGCCCCACATCAGGCTCCCTTCTTAGTGGGGAGTCTGCTTCTCCCTCTCTCTCTGCCTCTCCCCCCTACTCATGCTCTCTCTCTCTCTAATAAATAAAATCTTTAAAATATAATAAAAATAAATAAAAAATAAAGACAGCAGAGGGACAGGGAAGGCCCTTCAGAGAAGGTGACTTTGATGGGCAGGCAGGATGGGTTACTGTCCCATCCCATTCAGCCCAAACATGCACCCCACAGGGTAGAAATGAAATGAAAATGAAAAGTGGAGGCCCTTGTTCAAAAGTTAAGAATTTCAAGAGGATGACAGCAGAGCTGACTGCACAGGTCACACACCTTGAAACAGGCCCTGGGGGGAGGTTTAAGGGCATGAGGGGGAAAGTGACCATTTCAGTTCAGAGGGAGCAGCAAGCACAAAGGCCCAGAATGGGGATGCAAGTGTGAGGATTCTGGAAACGTGAGGGCACAGGGGGAAGACAAAGGCCCCTTTGAAGATCATTCAAAAAGAGCTCCCCCCAAGCCACAAAAGTAAACAGGCACCTTTTCTATCCAGCTGCCTAGCTGGTGGCCTGGCAAGAAGAGGCCAGCATGGACCACATGGAGACCTTCGAGGTGACACAGAGGCCAAGCGGCTCTCTGGAGAAACTGCCAGCAGCAGGGAGGATCCACGGATATATCTATGCCACTTCTTTGCTGTGGCTTCCACGTGAGTATAAACCCCTGGAATAAACCCCCCAGGTCTTCGTTCTCTGTCTGCGAAATGGGAAGGACTGCAAGGACTAGCTCAAACCCCTACTCCCTGCCTCCATATTGCAGAAACTGAGCCTCAAAAGGTTAGGGGATGTACCCGAGAGTGCACAGCATTTAGCAGCTGATCAGAAAAAAATAATAATAATACAGGGAGATTCCTGGATTCTAACAGGGACTCTTTATCACCACCTTGGCCTTCTATGTCAGGCTTCATTTCTTCAATCCTCCAGCTGGTTGCAAGCCACCTGCCCACATCTCGAAGTGGCCTGGGCATTTCCACCCTGTATAAGGGAAAAAGCCCAGCAGTGGCCCTCCACAAAGCAACACTCTGGAGGGTTTGGGGGGATTGGGAGGTCCCCCTGAACATTTCTTCAGAGTTGACCCAAGATGCTACCAACGGATGTGAGCAAAAGGGTCAATGGCGGACTGCCAAACACCAGGCTATTGAGGGTCCCAAAGATGCCAAAATACCAAGTCAAAAACTCTACAAGAGGATGACAGAACACTCGGCTTCATTCTGATATCATTGTTTCCAACAGGCTGGAACACACAGGTTATGACGTCATTTTTTTCATCCGACCAACCACCAGAGACAGCAGCACCAGGACAAGCGTCTAAGTGTCTAAGTGAAGATACCGCCCCATGGGATTCTCATTCCAGGTCATTAGGAACAATGAACCCACGCTGGTCTCCTCCAGCAGAGGTCCCTCATTTGGGGACGTTCCTCACAGAAATGCCAGTATCTTGGGAGGCACCAGCAGAACTACCTGAGCTGTCCTGGGTGCCAAAATCCTAAATTCCACACTCTGGAAAGCACATAGATTGGGGGCAAAATAACCATATGCCCAGTGAGATTGGTAACCAGGGGTCACACTTCAGGGGGCTGGTCCAGCCTCCTCATGCTGTAGATGAGGAGGCAGAGGTTCAGAAAGGGTAAGGGACCCACCCAAGGTCACACAGCACACTGGTCCTCCTTGTGCCCTATGTGGCCCTTTGCATCTCCCACCACCCCACAGTTTATAAAAAACTAACATCCCTCTGCTCCCCTCCCCCCATCCTGATAAAAGATTTACCTACAGTGCTAAGTTTCTATGTCATGAAGATACAAAGGCAGAAAACTCATTTACTATTTTGGCGCACTGTCATGCAAAGACAGGCCCTTAGTTAAATATCTTTTGCCTTCATAAATTGACCAGCTCAAAAAAGCTGTAGTTTAAGCACAAACCAGCTAAGACCCCTAAAAATGGAGGTGGAAGACAGTGAGTAGTGGAGAGACAGTGGGGAGACAGTGGGGAGACTTGCCCCAGCTCCATATTTTAACCTACCATTTATTGAGTGCTTTATTCTCTTGCTTAATACCTTAGACACGTTAGTTCATTTGATCTTCACAACTTTCTAGGAATCCAAAACTCGGGAGAAAATAATACTAGTAATAATGTTGCTATTTGGGCACACCAACCGTCTTGATAAGTTTTTAATTAGCATCGGTAGAAATAATTCACATGGTTGACTTCTTATCCATTAGGGCTGAAGCTGGGCTGATGTAATAGCCAGCAGCCCCATGACACCATTTAAATTTCCAGGAATTAAAATTAAATTTTTAACTCCACTTCTTCCATCACACTAGCCACATGTCAATCTCCATAGTCACATGTGACTAATGGCTACCATATTGGACAGCACATTTCTAGAACATTCCATTCTAGAACATTCCCTCATGGCAGAAAGTTCTGTTGGCCTGCTCAAGTCTAATTTGAAAGTTGCCTCTTCCAAGAGCTCTCCACTGACCTGACCACCTCATTCTAAAATAGATCCCCTCAGGTACTCCCTCTCCTGTACCTGCCTTCCTCCTGGCACTGGACACACTGAGAGATGATCTTATCGGTTTATCTGTTTATTTGTACTTTGCCCATCTCCCTGCTGGGACGCTCCTTGAAAGTAGCAACATATCCATCTTGCTTCCTGCTGGGGCTTTTGTGATAAATGTATCTCGCCACCTGTCCTACTTGGATACCACTTAGCAACCCCGGGTCGGACATCCACTTCTAACATAATCTCTGATGTTTGTCAGTTTGGGTGAATTCATTTAATCTGCTTTTCCCTAATCCCTGTTGAAACTGTCACACTGAAGTTAAGAACCAGTTCGGAGGAGTGTGAATGTTGGCCATCACTGGAGGGACCACACTGCGGCACGGTGGACCCACGTCTGCAGTCTGGTGGACCTGGCCTCGAAGCTTGGCTCTGCCCCTTCCCAGCTGTGTGATCTTGGGAAAGGTACTTCACCTCTAAGCCCCAGTTTTACCATCTGCAAAATGGGGATCCACCGCCACCAGCTTTGTACTGTTATCCGAAGGCATCAATGGATAACTGATATAAACTATAAAGTGATGCGTGAAGTGGGTGCTGGGGGGCGGGGGACAAAGAACAAGCCAAGGAAAGGAGCTGTAGGGGAATCTACTACTTATTAAGTACCTACTGTGTACCCAACTCCATGCATACTTTACAAACATTATCCCATTGAATCCCGTGAGCATTTTCCAGATGAGGAACTGAGGCCGGGAAAGGTGAATGCCATGACCAAGGTCACACAGTGGGGGGGTGGCAGAGCCAAGTTTGAACCAACTCTGGTTCTGACACTTTGTACCAGACCCTGAAGGCTTCCCTTCCTTGAACCCTCCAGAACGTCAAACTAGTTTCCCCCTGAAGATCATCAGGACGGGGCACACTAGCCTTTTCTCTTTTCTCTACCTTCTACTTCCAGTCACCAGGGTTCAAATTAAGCTCCCTTGGAACATGGGTGCCTATGGATGAAGCCACCTCCTCAGCCAGGCTTTTCACATTTGGGAGAGAGAGTACAAGAGATGCTGAAAAGAACAGCCAGTGAGGTTCTTCCCCCAGAGGAGGGAACAGACCAGAAGGAGGGAAGAGACACTGGAAGTGGGGCAGAGAGCTCTCCGACCAGCGAAATGATGGTTGGCGGCTCTTTTCTTTTCCCTGCTTGTCTGTTTCCCGAGTTTTCCACCCGGAACTACTGTATTCTGTTTGTAATTGGGGAAGAGAGGTGGCAAAGCTTGAACACAACGACAAAAACAAAGCCACCAACTGCACACCTAGGACATACTCCCACCCGTAGTGGACCGATGGGCATTGGTTTGCAGCAAATGTGTCTGAGTTTCTGCTTTGAAGGCACCCCGAGAGGAAGGCATGTATTCCAGTTGTCAGTTACCTGCTGAAAGGACCAACGAACAAATAAATGAGTGTCTCTTCAGGAGGCAGGGAAACTGTCCCTCCCTCCGGGCCCCCACTGTCCCGGGGTGGCTCTTGTCAGCCTTCACGCATTCGGCTTAAATTATGATAAGTCACACACAAGGTTGTCTTCCCCAACCAGGCCAAGCTCTTCTAAAAGCACAGTCTCCTGGCACAGGGCCCTGTACACGCAGTAGATGCTCAATAAATAATTTTGAAAGGAATGAAGGAAGAAGGCAAGGCTTATGGTTTCTGCATTTCCCGTAACTACCCTCAAGACACGTGGGCATCAGCAGACAGCTTGACTGAGTGGGGAAGGGGCAGCCCCCCACCCTAACTCTGTGCCTCCCACTTATGAGGACTTAGGTCACGTTACCTCATAGCAGGGACTGGGTTCTCGAACTCGCCTACAGTCTGAGCAGCCTCCAGGGACAGGGTCCCCAGGCTGGCCCGGCTGTCCTTCCAGGAAGACTCTCGGAACAAGCCAGCGCCAGGGTCCTCATCTGAGGAGTTGTCATCAAAGGAGCCCAGGATGAAGTTGGTCATCAGCTGCCTCTTGATGTGCTCCTGCTTTTCGTCTTCTTTGGAGAGGGGTCTGGCTCGCTGGCCCTGGGGCTTGGCTGGAGATGACAGGCCATTGGTATCCGGGGTCTTCAGGCCTTTGGTCCCTGTCCCATTGGCTTGGAGAGCTGCGGGGGTGCTATCCGAGGAACAGGGGTTTCCTGGGGGGTTCTGGTGTGGGGGTGGCCTGGAAGTTCTTTGCCGACAGGCATCTTTGGGACCTTTGTGGGAGGCTGGCTCAGCCTGGTCAGGAGTCTCTGGTGGAGGGCTGCGGTCCTCGATTTTCTGGGGTGGCTCCCCTGAGCTGTCTGAGGCTGGAAAGGGCTCCCGGCTTGGGATACAGCTCCCTTCTGATTTACTCTTGGTGACTTGCTTAGAGTCCGTCATTTTCCCCCAGATTTTTAACCAGGAAAAGGTCAAGCGGGAGAAAATCAAACAAGATAGAAAAAGAAGCAGTATCATTCAAAAAACCTGTAAAGAAAAAAGGGAAAGACATTTTAGAGTCTACGAAATTGAGTTATTTCCTCTTAAAGGGCCTCGTGGCAGCTGGGGTTCTGTGTATTCAGCTGGGAGCACCAGAGGCGATAGGCAGTGGACAAAGCAGCTCTGCCCACCATGTGCTCTGTGGCCCTGGGCACATTCCTGAACGCCTATGGATGTCAGTTTCTCACCTCTAATTTAGGTACATGAACACATGCTCACCAAAAATCAGAAACATGCATGGAAGAGAGAAACAGATCATGCCTGCTAAAGGACTCTTGTTATAGACTCATAAAACCCAAAAAGTAGAAACAATCCCCCTGCTTGCACTCTTTCTCTCTCAAATGAATAAATTAAAAAAAAATCTTTTTAAAAAAATTTTTTTAAAA